TTCATTTGCAGATGCTTGTTTATAGAGATTACTGATATTCTAAAGGCTCAGGAACCAATCAAGCACCATAGTGGACTTTTAAGGGAACACTGGAGGGTTTTTTTCCAATTAATTTGAAGGTTACTTTGGGAAAAGTGTGGTATAAAATATGTTTTAGTGGATTTTCACATGTCAAAACCTGCAAAATGAATCCAGAAAAAGCTACACTCAGTCTGAAGTAAAACTTTAGACAGATGGATATTACCTTCACCCAGATCCAGTACAGCAAGCACAGCGCTGCTCCGAGCCTCTCCCAGGTGATTGTTGGCAATGCAGGTGTAGAGACCAGCATCACTCGGTTTGCAATCCCTAATCCATAGCCCTCCGTACTCTTGGTTCTCCATGTTGAGGAGTTCATCGTTATGGTACCAATACAGGGAAGGCTGCGGATCTCCAGCCACAGTCACCTTCAGACGGATGTCACAGCCTGTCCCCACGGCAGCGTTCCTCATTTTCCGTGTAAAAACCGGCGGGGTTGGGGTGTGGTAACCAGGTCCTTGAGGTTCCGGGACAAATTGATCTGGGCTCGCTTTGGACCGTTTTGGGGGGATGATGGGACTTGGTGGTGCCCCTGCCTCATCTGCCCCTTTTTTCAGGGTCATTTGCACCTCAGCTTTTCTCATGGCTAAAACTGTCTACCTGGACTTTATGATTATATCACTACCTGGGCCTTGTCTTAGCAAGCCGTAGTCATGCCTTAAAAGGGCATTAGAGGCTACAGGTTACACACATACATTACAGCTAACATGGCGTTCATGTTTTTGAACATTGGAGAGATAAATTCATTTTACTTTTACTTTAGAAACACGTCTATAACATTAAGGGCTCCTTGAATTGCTGTTTTCTAACCGCAGCTGTTGTTTGAAGAAGAAAAAGAAATTGTTGATCACCAGGTAATTAAGCAGATAGAGATAGTTGCCAGCCTAAAAAGCCCAGCAGCACAGGACGTGTTTAGTCCTCACAGGCTGTAAATGCTGACAAAGCTCTCGTCCAGCTAACGGTTCCACAATTGA